AAAAATATTTAATTTAATTAATTTATTTTTTAATGTTTGTTTTTGAGAGAGAGACAGAGACAGAGTCTGCGCAGGGGAGGGACAGAGAGAGAAGGAGACAGAATCTGAAGAAGGCTGCAGGCTCTAAGCTGTCAGCACAGAGCCCAGCATGGGGCTTGAATTCATGAACTGTGAGATCATGACCTGAGTTAAGTTGGATGCTTGACTGACTGAGCCACCCGGGCGCCCCTAGGCTTTTAAAAGTATTTAAAAATGCTATAAATAATATGAATGGAATCAATATAACTAATATTTAGAGGTGTTTACGATATGCTGGCTATCTGATACGTGCATGTGCACACACATACTTTTCCCCCCTCATTTATTCCTGGCAGCCATGCTGTGAGGTGAGCTAGGTATTGCTACCCACACTGAGCTAATAAAAACTGAAGTTCTGAGGGGTTAGGTCCTAACTCAAGATCACGCACCTCATTAAGTGGCCCACCTGATTCTCCTAGCAATGGGAGAAGCCAGCCAGACCCAGGCTGGCCTACTATTACGCCTTGCACCCCACTCACTAGCCTTCAAGAGCTCACCATACCCAGCCGTTGGCAGTGGGGCAGGGCCCAAGGCATTTGGAGTGCTCGGTTATTTTAGGCTCTGAATAGTTTTATTTTGGGTTCCATATACTCTCCAGATTATCTCAGTGTACTCTAGAACTACCATCATTCTTTGTGTGTATCATTACGTGAGAAACATCGGTGGATGTCCACACTACACCATTTTACCTCTTCTGGCCTCAGCTTGACATCATTAACCTGTGGGAACAGAGAATGAAGAGTCCCGCAGGGCCACACTTACCAGTCCTTTCTAACATCGTCGAGGAAGACTTTTCATCACAGATGTCAGCTTTGTTGGTCTTGGTGGTTTTCAGCCCTGGCTTGTGTTAATCTGTAGGGCTGGGTTGTGAACTCACAGATAGGCATGCTTTGTAACCAGTGAAGTTTGATGTTTTTTTTTTAATTGTTTTAGTTTTTTTTAAATTTATTTTTGAGAGTCAGAGAGAGACAGCACGAGCAGGGGAGGGTCGGAGAGAGAGGGAGATACAGAATCTGAAGACAGGCTCCAGGCTCTGAGCTAGCTGTCAGCACAGAGCCCGACGCGGGGCTTGAACCCACGAACTGTGAGATCATGACCTGAGCCGAAGTCAGACGCTTAACCAACTGAGCCACTCAGGCGCCCCCTGAAGTTTGGTTTTATATCACCTGGCGGTGGTCAATAGTGATGCCGTTCTTCACCGCCAAACCCAAGACTTCGTGCCTTTCAAGCTTTCCTGTGTGTGATGACAGTTTGCCTAAGCTACCCTTTGTAGCAGATCCCACATGCATGGAAAGAGTTAAATTAGCGAAGTAGGTTTATGAAACACGTTAATAAAAGGTAGGGGACAAGCTGAGGATCCCCAGGCGCAGCATTTGTTTGAGCTCTTGAATTGAGGTTTGGATATTTCTGCTCTGCGTGATGAAAGCAAAAATATTAGTACGAAAGCAGTCCAGAGAGCAAGAGTCTTGTTAGTCTTATCTCTGAAACCTACACCAGGCCTGTAATTCATCTCTGTGCTCTATCTATTTAGATTCTGCATTCTTGAGCCAGAGAAGGTTTATTTAATGAGCATTTGAAGCGTTTCCAATGATGCCATCTCAATGATGTTAATTCCACTTGGATCACCTCTTACTATCCCCCTGAGGTACCATGGGGTTGAGATAACATACCCCTTTGCTGACATTTGATACTTGTTGAAGGAAGTAATGATCATTCCCGTCCTTCCCTAGCGTGGATGTTCCCTGGGCAGGAGGATGGTAGTATTTCATAGCTGGGCTCAGTACGGGTGGTAGCTGGCCCTTTTCCAAACAGCAACTTACTTTGATTCTTTGCTAGGAAGATAAAGAATATCAGAGAAGCAGTGGGCTAGCTATTAGAGAAAAACCTTATAGTTACCAAGACTATTTTTTTAAATGTGTATTTGTTTTTGATATAGAGAGAGCTGGGGAGGAGCAGAGAGAGCAGGAGAAGAGAATCCCAAGTAGGCTCCATGCTGTTAGCACAGAGCCCATCAAGGGGCTTGAACTCACGAACCATTAGATTGTGACCTGAACCAAGGTCAGACTCTTAACTGACTGAGCCATCCAGGCGTCTCGTTATTATGAAGCTTCTGCTGCCTTCCCAGACATACAAAACTGTGCCCGGAACACACAGAACAGTGGTTTCTGGTGCTCATCTCTGACTTGGTGTTGGGCTGGCTGATGCCTGTGTGAGAGCCATTTCTGGAGTTTATAAAATACAGATTTGGTGGCTTGCAGCAGGGCCTGGGAATATATTTTTCTAATATGCACCCTAGTTTGGGAAGCGCAGCCCTGGGACCGCCTCATGTAATTTTGCAATTACTGTAAACATGATAGTCCAATTTTCTGGTCACATCACACAGTTTTCTGACTCAGATGGTTTTTCCATCATATTGCCATGATATGACCTCCTGTGTCCCACCCTCACCCATTCATTTTACCAATATTTAACAGCTCTCTAGGATGGGCTCCAGGAGCAAAGGTGGAAAGATAGAAAAACACGTGGTTCCAAGACTCGAGAGTCTCTGGTATGGTTGGGAGAGAGTTGAACAGTCAAGCAGCTACTGTACAAAAACAGAGCTATTTGAACTAAATTCCAAGGAGAGCAGGTGGAATTTGCTAGCAAGTCAGGTAATGCATTCTACAGGAGAAACCCTTTGACTGGAGGCTTGACAGAGGAGAGGGTGGTCGTCAGAAACCACATGAACATACGGGAAGTCAGAGGGAACTTCTTGGCAAAAGCCTAGTGGCCAGAGAGCCTGCGACAAGAACTACATGCCTCCTGGTTTGCCATGGTGTGAAACACGAGGCCATTCATGATAGAAATGAGGGTGGGCTTGTTGACTAACCGCCAAATCAGGAGGGGCTTGTGGGTCACGTGTGGTGGGAATTTGTATTTGATGTCATTAGCATATTTTCCCTGCATATGTGGATGCTTTTCTAAGGGCCTCACTGATCCAGATCTCTTTCAGATCCTCTCCCCTGACAGCCTGGCATGATGAAATTTCTTACTCTCCTGTAATACCTTGGAAGTGGCACTTTGCTCTATCCCATGCTCTATCTAGCCCTAGCCTCCATTCTCATTTTCTGGGCCTTGTCACCCATTTTTTTTTCTGAAGCTAGAAATCAGCTTCTTTGGGGGGCTTCCTTTCTCATATAATGTGAGTCCTTTTTTCTTTTTTTTTTTTTTTAGCAGGGGAGGGTCAGAGAGAGAGGGAGATACAGAGTCCAAAGCAGGCTCCAGGCTATGAGATAGCTGTCTGCACAGAGCCCGATGCGGGGCTCGAACCCATGAACCACAGGATCATGACCTAAGCCGAAGTCAGATGCTTAACTGACTGAGCCACCCAGGCGCCCCAACATGAGTCCTTTTTGAAAGCCAGTGCCAGCTTCATCTCTGACACTTTCCTCCTTGATCCCTAAGCTCCCTATCTTGGCACTGATCTTTTTCAGATTTTCAAAGAAAACCTATTTTGACCACAGGGCTTCTGCACATGCTGTTCCACCGGCCTGCAGTTCTCCATCCTCACCTCATCTAGGTGATCTTCCTCACAAGGGCCTCTTTCGCCTCTGTTGAAACAAGCCCACTCTTCTGTTTTGTGACACTTAATACAATTTTATATTGTTTTATTTGTTTTGTTGACTTTCTTTTTCCTTTATTGCCAGATATTCCCTTTAGATTTTATAAAAGCAACAGCATGGTGTGGCTCAACAATTGCACCCTCCTTATGTATTTAGTTATTCATATTAGATAATTACTTGATGGATGAGTAGATGGATGGATGGGTATGTGGATGGATGGATGGGTGTATAGATGGATGGATAGATGCGTGGGTGGATGGATAGATGGGTGGATGGATGGATGGATGAATAATGGATGGATGGATGGATGGATGGATGGAATTGAAGTCTGTAAGTTGAATTCTTAAAAAATGCAATGTACCATTCTTCTTTCAAACTGTGGTCCCACTTAGCCAGGCTCCTGAGATTTCTCTTCTCGCCCTGGAACCCATCGAAGCTGCATCCACCCCTCATACCACAGTCTAAGCTCCATTCATTCATTTAATGAAATTTGTGATTTCAAAGGCTGACACTGATTTGCCCCTCTCTTGACATGTATAAGATATATGTTTTTGTTTTTTTTTAATTAGCTTGGAGTGTATTTGCATTGTTTATAATTTGATCACTTATCCAAACTTCATCTAAGTTACAGTTTTTAAAAAGACTTTAATTACAAGAAAAACAATTTTTTTCATAGCAAAGGCAACAGAACCATTTCAGAAAATGTGAGAGTTTCATGAAGCAAATAAGAATCCTGCATAACTTCTCCACCCTGGGTTAAATACTATAGAATACTATAGGAATTTTGTCTTTTTTCCATTCACTGCATTTCCTATACATTCCACAACCTTGGGTGCCTGTGTGTACACATGTATAAGTATCCTGAATTGTAACATAATATGACCCTCGTGTCATGATAAAGACTTTTAAAGGCTGTTTCATTGTATGCATGATCCTAAATTCGGTTTTTGAGAATCATTGTTGAGTGCCAACAGAGTGCCAGGCACTGAGGTCTACGTTATATACCACTTTAAAATTTACTGCTTAGTGAACCAGAAAAGATAATAAAAGAGTGTCTTCCCTCAAGCAGCTATGTTTCTGAGTGACTGTGGCAGGTTGCAGAAGCAAGAGGTGAAACTCTAGAGTTTAAATTAGAGGTAAACATGAAAGACTTGATCTCTAACAAATATACCCAGTTCATACATGAGTGCACTGAGCACACAGATATCTTAAGTAAATGTGTTCCTCTTAGACATCTAGAATAGTGAATTGGGTTGGCAGATGTGACCTTCTCTGAATTCCTAGCTGTGAGTCTAACTTAACGTTTTCCTTATTTTCTAGAGTGACCGTCTTCTTATCAAGGGTGGCAGAATCGTCAACGATGATCAGTCCTTTTATGCTGACATTTACATGGAAGATGGATTAATAAAGTACGTATGCAGAGCCTTATCTTTATCTTTTTGTACTTCCTCTCTTCATTAGAGGCTCAGAAAGAACTTTTCTTCTTTTTTGCTTACTAGATCTTTGATTCTTTATGTTTCATTTCTTCTTCTCCTTAAAAATGAGTCTTTAAAAAATTTTTTTTAATGTTTGTTTATTTTGAGAGAGAGAGAAAGAGAGAGCAAGCAGGGGAGGGGAAGAGAGAGAGAGAGGAAGAGAGAGAATCCCAAATAGGATCTATGCCTTCAGTGCAGAGTCCGACACAGGGCTTGATCCCATGAGCCGTGAGATCATGACCTGAGCTGAAATCAAGAGTTAGACACTTAACTGACTGAACCACACAGGCACCCCTAAAAATGAGTCTTTATTTTAACCCTTTGTTCTAGATGCACATAATCCCTTGAAATGCGAGCTAGCTTAGTTTATTTGAATTCCATGAATGAAGTGAAAAATCTGAATTCAGTCAGCCACAGATGCTGCAGGCCCCTTTGTGCAAATGGCATTGACAGGCGCTCTGTGCACCTTGGAGACGTGGAAGATGTGACATTGTCCTTAAGTTCAGTGGAAAAATGTGCACAGGATTACAGCCCCCTAAAAATATAAGACCATGTGTAACTGGTATCAAAGTTCAAATGAGTATAAGGGGTATAAAAGTGCACCCAGAGGAGAAATCTCTTCAGAGGAAGGTTTGGGGCTGGAGAGGCATTTAAAAAATTTTTTTTTTTTTAATGTTTTATTTATTTCTAGGAGAGAGAGAGAGACAGCGCGAGCAGGGGAGGGTCAGAGAGAGAGGGAGTCACAGACTGAAACAGGCTCCAGGCTCCGAGCTGGCAGTCAGCACAGAGCCCGACGCGGGGCTCGAACCCACGAACCGCGAGATCATGACCTAAGCGAAAGTCGGACGCTTAACCGACTAAGCTACCCAGGCGCCTGGAGAGGCATTTAAACTGAGCTTTGACTCAGGTAGAGCTTAGGTGGGTAGAGCACGGATAGGACATACATCTCAGATAAGATTTCAAATAGACACTTAAGGATATGTACTTACCTTACTGGAATGATTTGTTCATGGGTGCCTGTAAGCAGCGCAGCCGTAACCTTTTAATGCAGGTTTGCGATACAGTGACCTTCATTTATTTATTTATTTATTTATTATTATTATTATTAAAAAAATTTTTTTAATGTTTTATTTATTTCTGAGAGAGAGAAAGAGACAGCATGAGCAGGGGAGGGGGAGAGAGAGGGAGATACAGAATCAGAAACAGGCTCCAGGCTCTGAGCTAGCTGTCAGCACAGAGCCTGACACGGGCCTCAAACCCACAAACCGTGAGATCATGACCTGAGCCGAAGCTGGATACTCAACCGACTGAGCCACCCAGGTGCCCCCCGATACAGTGACCTTTAAAAGAGGGTTTGGGGGCACCTGGGTGGCTCAGTTGATTAAGCATCTGACTCCAGCTCAGGTCATGAGCTCACGGTTTGTGGGTTCAAAGCCCGCATTGGACCGTCTGCTGTCAGTGCAGAGCCCGCTTCGGATCCTCTGTCCTCCACATCCTCTCTGCCCCTCTGTCACTAGTTCTCTCTCTCTCTCAAAATAAATAAGTAAACCTAAGGAAAAAAAAATAAAATCAGGTTTGGCCTACACATAGGTCCTTATCACATAATGCAAGGTATGCCCCCATGCTGACAAGATATTGTCTAAGACTGGTGTATACAGTCCATCCTATTCACCATCCCTGGCCTTGCTCAGTTTTATTTTTACATTATTTGGCTAGTTTAAGATTCTGGTTATAGTGGATCCCTTCCTTATCCTTGAAAACGTGGCTTAGGCATAACTTTCTGTAGGTGGGTGTTCCTTATCAGTCCTGAAATCTAGGCTTGTTTCCCTTCTTGAGCCTCAATACAACTCATGCTTTTATCAGTAACAGCAATTCTGGCACCTTTCGGAGCCCTGAAAGGGAAGGACCCTGTCTTGTTCATCTCTGTATCAGAACACTTAACCCAGTACTTAGCATGTAGATATTTTTATAAGACCTACCTTTTATTGAGTACATAGTATGTGCCAGGCACTGTGTGAAATGGTTTACAGGTTTACATGCCTTACTTCGTTTAGTCTGCCAGGAATCCCACAAAGTAATACTGTTACTACCTTTTTCTCAGATGAAGAAAAACAGGGACACAGGGAATAAGTAACCTGCTAATGATTAACATGTTAATCAAATACGTTGAGTGAATGAGTGACTGAATAAACAAATGCATGAAGGAAGATATTCTTGTTTAGTTGCCTTACTAACATAAACACTTTTTCATATTAGAAATAAGGTAAATGGAAATAGTAGGCAAGCTAACCAATGTGAAATAATAATTTCTTCAAAATAGAAGCCACAAGTGATTTTATATTTTTCTCCTACTAAAAAAGTTAAAAATTTTGTTTCATTCTATTTATTTTAGAAAGAAAGAGAGGACATGGAGCCGGGGAGGGACACAGGGAAAGAAAGATAGAGAGAGAAAGCAAGAGAGAATTTTAAGCAGACACTATGCTCAGGGTGGAGCCCAGTGTGGGGCTTGATCCCACGACCCTGGGATCTTGACCTGAGCCAAATCAATAGTCGGTTGCTCAACCAGCTGAGACACTCAGGCACTGCTTACTAAAAAATTGTTGTATATAGTTGGCTCTCTTTGGAGATAGCCAGTTCCTTCATTTAGAGATTTTCAGAGATGGAAAAAAAATGTAGTACCTAATGTTGCTTCTTCCTTTCAGAGTTCATGACGGGCATCACTAATTGATCACAGAACTTTTCACAGGTGAGCCTTAAATACAGGCTCAGAATCCATCTTCACACAGTGAATCAGGCATCTACTACTGGAATTGAATATGTAAAACCCTTTTGCCATCTCTTTTAGAATAGCCCAGAAGGCTCCTTGCCAAGGATGTTCTAGAAGCAATATAAGCATCAGCTGTGTGTGTTGAGGGTAGAGAGAAGGGTGGATTAACATGATCTTCATACAATCCTGGATTTTTTTAGATCTTCAAAAACATCCTGAAATCACAGAGCATAAAAGCAGAAGTAATTCCCTCTGGTTGTTACATAGCTGTTTGCCTATCTGTGAGTATTTCCAGAGTGCCTACTATGTGCAAGGCAGTTGTCTAAGGCACAGGACACGTGCTATGTCACATGCTATGATGGATATCATTGAGATCCACCTCTTCCCCCAGGAACTTTACATTCTTTTAGGGGAACTGAGAGAGATACCTGTGTTTATGCAAAAGTCATAACATTACCAGATAATATCAGTAACAAGTATTAAATAATAGAATAGATGAGATTCAAGGGAAGGGCTGTATGGGATTAGTATGGTTATTGATTATAATAGCTGATGCTTATTGACTTCTGTGCCTAGGAGTCTGCTGTGGGCTTAACACATATCAACACTTAATCTACATGACAAAACATTGGAGGAAGTGTTTTTAGTACATCTTACAGATGAAGGAATTAAGACATGGTGCGGTTAAGCAACTTGGCCAAGGTCATAAAGCTAGTAACTAACAGAGCCAGGATTGTGAATCCAGACAGTCTATATCCAGGGCACATCTACACTCTTCATTACTAGACCTGGATGTCAGTAGTGATTTTGACTAAGGAGGGGAGATAGAAGCCAAGCGTTGGAGGATTAATGTGACCTTGAGTGGCTCAGTGGAGAAAAGGGGGAAGGCATTTCTGTTTCAGACACAGTATTGTAAGTGTTGAGAACTGGTGGAAACATGAATATACACATGCATGGGCCAGACAGCTAACTCTTCATGCCTTTTGCTCTCAATTTGCCGCAGAGGGAAATCGGGGACGGAGGAAAATGGGAACACAATGGCCAGTATCTGGACTATAATGGAGTTACAATCAGAGGCTACATTTTTTCCACAGTGTGTTTTGAATTGTGGTGTCTCTGGAATGGCCCGATGGGGATGTGGTGAAGTTGAACTCTTAGCGATGTTAGGAATACTTTATTTAGTTGCAGAACTTAGATTTTGGCAAGCCAGTGGTAGACTTCTTCCTATCCCGAGAGAGTGTCTGACTTGGCTGACTGTGCACAAAAGAGGAATGTATTCATGCCACTGGTAGTGAGGTACCTGTCTCCCCAAGGTAGGACGTGCGTAGTAATAAAGTCAGGGCTTGTGACTCTTACGTCCACCTAGAATTAACTGGCCATTTAAAAATTTTTTTAATGTTTATGTATGTTTGAGAGAAGGAGAGAGAGACAGAGTACGAGCAGGGGAGGGGCAGAGAGAGAGGGAGACACAGAATCTGAAGCAGCCTCTCAGCTCTGAGCTGTCAGCACAGGGTCCGATGTGGGGCTCGAACTCATGGACTGCGAGATCATGAGAGCCAAAGTCAGACTCTTAACTGGCTGAGCCACCCAGGTGCCTCTTTTTTTTCTTTAAAGAACTGGCCATTTAAAGCAAGAGTGTGAAATTACATATAAACCGAGGAAGACTGGAGGTCTGTGAGGTAACATTTTGCCAGGAGTAGTTGTCTTTGTCATTTGCCGTGTGTAGGTTGTGTGTCTCTGGAGTAGTCATCAGCTTCCTCCCCACCTGAGTCTCCCTTTCTTCCTGGGGATGTGCTGAAGCTTCCTGGGCGAAAGTGTGTCTGGTAGAGTTTGTCCTTGTCACCTTCCTTGCCTGGAAGCTTCTGCTAAGATGCTACCCACCAGCTGGGTGTCTGTGTTTGGCTTCCTCCTTTCGAACCTGCCCTTGGCTGTGACTGACAGTTGAATTATCAGAGGGGAGGGTGGACTTGGGAGTGAAGAAAGAGGTGCAAAATGACTCACACAGATTCCTCTTGGTAGGAGCACGGGTGAACTCACTTTGAGGATAGTTATGCTCACATACCTATTCTTTAAAGGATTGGTGACCTCCTTCAATCTCTCCTACAAGTTCCTTATTTTACACTCTCAATCCTTTTCCGAACGTTTCCAAAGTTACTCTTCATGCTTCACTACAATAAAGAATATAATGAAAGGGATAATAAAAATAAAAACACCTCTATTTAAAAAAAAAAAATTTATGGGATGCCTGGGTGACTCAGCTGGTTGGACATCTGATTTCAGCTCAGGTCATGATCTCACCATTTGTGGGTTCAAGCCCTGCATTGGGCTATGTGCTGACAGCTCAGACCTGGAGCCTGCTTCAGATTCTGTGTCTCCATCTCTCTCTCTCTCTCTCTGCCCCTCCCCTGCTCATGCTCTCTCTTTCTCAAAAATAAATGAATAAACATTAAGAAAATTTTAAAAAATAAAAATAAAGAATATTTATTACACATTTATTACATCATATTGGAGACCCTGCCAAGCCCTGGAGTTGCAGTACGAAGCCAAGCAGCCTGGCTCCACCAAGCAGCAGATGAGCTTGTTTTGAGTCTGTAAAAGTCGTTTTCTGGGTATACACCTATCTTTCTTTGTTTCTAGATTGGGAAACCCGTGAATCACTTGCACAGGCCACTGTGATAAATATAAGTAACAGTGTCTCAAATCCTCACAGGACTGTTTGTCTTCAGAGTTGCTTCTTTGAGATTGTCAGTTGCTTTGCTATTTCACCAGGCAAATTGGAGACAATCTGATTGTCCCTGGAGGAGTGAAGACCATCGAGGCCAATGGGAAGATGGTGATCCCAGGAGGCATCGATGTCCACACTCACTTCCAGATGCCGTACAAGGGAATGACCACAGTGGATGACTTCTTCCAGGGGACAAAGGCTGCCTTAGCGGGCGGCACCACCATGATCAGTAAGCCACTGGTCCCAACCAGCAACTGTTTAACTAATGTGCTTAACCCCTGTGCTCTTTCGCCAAAGCTCCTACACATCTCTCAATTCAGAGCATTGGCTGTCTGCCTGATTGGACCTGAAGAAGGCAGATGGTAGTGAGGATGTGGGCAGGTCACTGAAATTGCACAGAGAAGAAGTGCAAGGCTCCTGGCTCCTGGCCATGAAGGCAGCTGCCCTCTCTGGTCTGCCCCAGAGCGGGGGCTGGGTGTGCAGGGGTGGGAGGGGGTGCATCGGCAGTTCTCTCTGGGCCAGACCTCCGGAAAAGTGGACCTAAGAAGTGGGGAGATGGGGGACAGTGTCATTTCAGAACATCCCAGTTGGACCCGAGGCAGGAGGGGGCAGAGGGTGCAGGCAGAGCCGTGTGAATGGGGCTAAGCACCCCTGAGAGGGAAGGGTAACAGAGACTTGCAGTTCTGGGGAAACCAGGGGGTTTACTGCTGTCTGCTCTGTGCTGGGCTTTGACCAATTCATGTTAAGATTAGGCAAGCTGTGAGGGTGGTTTCCTTTGTTGTTTGTTCCTCTTTTGTCTTTGTCTTTTTTTTTTTTTTTCTGGGAAGGATTGCACTTCCAGAGAAACCTAGGGTGTTGCATTCCACTGGGTGACTGAACACATAGTCTTCCAGGGCAGTCCTTCCTGTCCCAAAGGAGTCCCAGTGAATTGGGTCCCATCCCAGGCTCGGCCCTAAACTGGCTCAGCAAGAGTACTGTTTATTTTAACACCGTATGCGTCCATCCAAGAACACAGAACAGCCTGAGCTGTAGAGTTTATTCATTGTCTTTTGCCTCCTTTTGATGGGAGCACTAGCCGGGTTGAGCTTCTTCAAGTTGGGTGTGGAAACCCAGGAAAATTGCCTCGAGGCCATAAAAGGTGCACTTCAGGGAGACCAAGGCTTTTCTCCAGCCCAAGGGAGGAGGCCAGCTGAGTTGTCTGCAGCCGCCTCCTCACAGAGGCCCTGGTGCACGCCTCAGTCATGCAGCTCCTCGCCATAAGCACCGGGGGGCTGCCTGTGGTAGGAGGCTGAGCAGACTAGGGATCTTGGCTTGGCTTTCTGCCATTGGGCAAGGCGTTGGACCTGTTCAGTGTCCCGGGAGTGTGTGTTGTGCTCGCTCCTCAATGTTAGGGCGGGAGCAGAGGAAAGGCAGAGCTGCAGGTGGTGAGAGAAAACCATACAAAGAGACACAAAACTGTACGTGTCCTTTGTAGATAATCAAAAAGCCATAGATATGCAGCAGGAAAAAGCAAACCTATAAAGCTTACATTACTGTTAACAGTGTGGCTGTAGTTTTCTTCCTATTTAACAAAAATAGGATCATAATAGACATACTGCGTCTTAGTGGGGTCTTAGTCTGCCGTTAAACTAAATAATCATGTCATGAGTGTCTCTCCGTTCATTTAGTTTTATTTCACTGGATCATTTAAAATAGGTGCCTAACCATCCATTTTTTGAAGTATGGTTGTTATTTAGCCAAACTAATCTATTGTTAAAGATTTTGATGGTTTCTAATTTTTTTACTTCTGTAGACATTTAAATAATATTTTCAATGGCAAACATCTATAGCCCCCAGATTTTGCAGACAGCCATGTTTTATTTTCTTAGGAATAAGAATAGGGCCAGGAATAATTCTTGAGTTAAGATATGAAAAATCTCAGATTTTTGGTGTATATTTCAAAATTGTTCTCCGAAAAGTTGTAGCAATGTGCACTTCCCCTCAACTACCCCAAGGGAGACTTGAGAGTGTCACTTTTGTGTGTTCCTCATCAGGTGTAACTGTCCCTATTTTTAAAACTGCTGTCTGCAGTTGCATGCACTGTAGGAGTAGATTTGGGCCTCAGAGAAAACTTTTAATTTTTAGTGGGGAGGGAGATGCAATGGGGAGAGAGAGGCAGAGGGGGAGAGAACCTTAAGCAGCCTCTGCACTCAGCATGGAGCCTGACGTGGGGTTCGATCCCACAACCCTGAGATCATGACCTGAGCCGAAATCAAGAGTCACACACTCAACCAACTGAGACACCCAGGCGCTCCAAAAGAAAACTTATGCTTGGCAAACTATTTATGTGGAAATAAGATCTGTGGGTGGAGCATCAGGTTCATGTACCTGACACTGGCTGTTTCCTGTAACAGTAAGCACAGGGATGTCACTGTCTCGTTACTTGACACAATTTCGAAGCCCCTCCTTCCACCCTGAAAAGGGAGTCTTTCTTTATTAGCAGTGACTTCCTGTGATACTCGCAATAATGGCACATAGTGGGCACTCACTGACGTTTATTGAGTACTTACTGTGTGCCAGGCATCAGGTGAGATAACTTTTCATGCATTTTCCCATGGAATCATATAACACAGTTAGAAGGCAGGCACTATGACACTCATCCTCCACCACCCTGAGCACCCATTTCAAGGATAAAAAACTGAGGTTTAGAGAAGCTAGTAGTTTGTCCAAGAGCAACATGGGTAAGTGACAGTTCAGTTATCAGCAGTATGGAAACTGCTTGAACCCACTTTGTAAGGTTAACTCGACACTCAGGAGGTGGAGGCTTTGCAGCCCTAGCTAAGTACGCGGGAGCAGGCCTGTTCAGAGGGGAGCAGCAGTTGGGTCCGTGAGTTACCCATCTGGGGTCTCTGTCATTCAGTTGACCACGTGGTGCCTGAGCCCGAGGCCAGCCTGACCGAGGCCTATGAGAAGTGGCGAGAGTGGGCTGATGGGAAGAGCTGCTGTGACTATGCCTTGCATGTGGACATCACCCACTGGAGCGACAGTGTCAAGCAGGAGGTGCAGAACCTCATCAAGGACAAAGGTGAGCCCTTGTGCTCCCCTCCCCCCTTCTCCTTGCTCGGCGCCTGGAACCTTGAACATGAGTGCCAGGTGCAGGGCTCCTGCTGTGTTCCGGGCACCTTGTGTTTATGTGTGTGTCTTACTCCCTACAGGTCCCCACAAAGGGGATTCTTCTCCTTACTTTGCAGATGGAGAGCCTGAGGCTCGGAATAAGTAGCTAAGGCTCACAGATCTAGTAAGCAGTAGCGGTACCCACAGTCTATGCCCTTCACCTCCACATGACACTGTCCGTTTTACAGAGGAAGAAACTGAGGCCAGGAGAGGTCAACATCTTATAGAAGGTCACACAGCTACTAAATAAGAGATCTGGAGGTTTTGACCTTTGTAACTTTCATTCCAAAGATCAAACCACCACTGTTGTAAAACAGTGGCATTCTCAGGAAAAGCTATGGCATTTTGGGGGGGCGAAGATGTGTTTGTACCTAGGCTAGAAGCTTAGGACATGGAAACGTGTGTGTGTCCCCTCTGTGAATACATGACTTAGGTTTCCTTGCCCTTGATGGTCAGATACCTCACATTCACGCACTACCCTCCATACACACACACAGACCTGCAATGTGTTGGGCATCGTAACATGGCCTGGGGGAGTCAGGAGTATAAGGGACAGTCTCTCGTGAACGTTCAGAAAGCAGGCCAGTAGAGGATAAATGCCACCAGGTTCAGAGTATTGTTATAATAGTATTAGCCTTGTACTAATTATAGCACAACATTAGTACTAATGAAGGCTGACATAATAACGTGCACTGTTATAACACTAACTTAGTGATCCTATTAGCAGTGAGCTACCTTGTTGCAAATACCGAGTGCAGTGGAGGAGAGTGTGCCCCGGGTTGGAGGGGAGAGGATGGGCTCCCAGCGGATGAGGTTTTCCTTTCCATCTCCCTCCTCACCGCCCCCCCCCCCCCCCCCCCCCCCCCCCCCCCCCCCCCCCCCCCCCCCCCCCCGCCAAGCTCTGCCCCACCTTCCTGATACAGGATGTGGGAGTGGCCCCCCTCCTTTCTTATGATTCCTCTCACACTGGGCATCTCAACTGGGGTAGAAAATGGAATGGCTTTAACACCCACTTCTCTGCCAAAGGGCTCGGGTCATTCCGCAGATGGCAGGAGGCTTATGGGAAGGGTAGTGTTGGGAAAAGCTGCCCCGAGCTGAACCACTCTGGATCGGGAAGTTCTCAAATTACAACCCACTGTTGGCCTGGAACGAAGTGGGCTGAGATGGCCCTAATGGTTGGAGACCAAAATTATCCTCCTTTCCTCAAAATGACTTTCTGTTCCCCGGCCCCACATATTCATATAAATTACTACATTAATGGTTTACTTTGGGGTGAAAAATAAAATAGCTCTTTCCGAGTAACCCTTACAACTTGGGTATTTAAGCACAAGGTGAACCTTGACTTCTGCCCATTAGCTCCGTAGTTTCGCGGGGACATGGTCTTCATCTTAGATGCAACAGCCCGCACAGGCTTCATGTAGAGCAGGCATTCGTTAAGCAGGGAAAGAAACCCAATCCCAGGAGCTCCATTAATGAAGCTCAAAGGTCTGGTGCTAACAGTTAGGTATGTGTTGTCTCATTTAACGTTTCCAGCTGCCTTATGAAGCAGGTTCTTGTAAATTTTCCATTTAACAGGTGAGGAAACCAAGAGGTAATGGATTCCCAGCACTGAGCTAGTATGTGGTGCAGCCACGTTGTGTGAGCCTGACCCATGTGTTATAGTGATTCTCGATGAAATACACTGCCTCGAGCAATGACAAAGCTTACTGACCCTCCGGTCAGGGGAATGGGGGTGGGGGAGAGGCAAGAAAGAGGCACAGAAGAGCCTTTTCTGCTGTAACACCATGTAGGCACTGTTGCTTTTCTAGGTGCAGAGGGAGTGGAGAATGGGAAACAGCTGCTTCATATTGGACAGGTGCCTGTAATGCACTTGGCCAGGCCCCAGGGGCGATGAGAGCAAAGGATGGAGCGCAGTCGGGCTAATGTTGTCTTCCTCCTGTCCCCCCCTTCCCTCTCTTGCAGGGGTTAACTCCTTCATGGTTTACATGGCCTATAAGGATTTGTATCAAGTGTCCAACACAGAGGTAACAAGCCACTGCTGTGTGGTTTGGGGTATCTGGATGGGTTTCCTATTGTTGCTATGACCTTGGCTCTGAGCATTAGTCACTGTGGTCCCAGCGGGAGACTGCTGGGCCACAGTGCTTCTTAGAGCCCTCACAGTCCATGCTACTGCAGATAAATAAGGTAACAGGCAGGGTGCCCATGGCAGGCAGACCAGGAGCTAGAATTTCCACTGGCTGCAGCTTTCTCCAAACGACGGGAGGAAGGGCATGCCGAAATCTGCGTCTACCAAACAAGCCCTAAACCCCACGTGAGCTCAGTGCAAATGTGAGGTGCTGCATCCTGCAGGATTAACGAGGGGCTTCTGCTGTTCGGGGGTCATAGCTTGCCTGTGACTCTCCCAAAGACATTCTCAGGGGGCCCGTGTTGGTTTTAGATGAATCTCACGTTTTCAGAGGGAATGCAAGAAGTTAATTCCCATGCCTCCTGGCTGGGAGGTGAAGGGAGGTCTGCATTGATGGGTTAAGAAATAGGGCCAGGCTGTAGCAGCTTTAAGGAGCCCTTGTTGAGAAGAGTTGTGAGGGTCGATCTCAGCAAAACGGGAAATTATACCATTAAAAATGTGTGCTGGAGGCAGAGTAGAAGTCTTAATAGCACTTTGTTATATGTTTGCCCCCACTGCTGAGGAGACCTGACATGTTCTTTATATAGACAGTTTCCTCGAGCTCCTCTGGACTCGCAGTCTTTGATCATGCATATTTTAGGCTGCATTTCTCGCCCTAATCACTGATTTCCTCTGGTTCTCCTCATTTGGTTTATTTATGGCTCTAGTGATTGACCCTTGCGCGAAGTTGCTGAAAGCACCAGTGGCTTGTAAAGGTGACTCCAGGTCCTTTCTCTTTCAGCTGTACGAGATCTTCACCTGTCTGGGAGAGCTGGGAGCCATCGCACAAGTTCATGCTGAGAACGGGGATATCATTGCCCAGGTGACGTTGTGCTGTCCCCCGGGGCACACTGGCTGCATGAGCTTCGGTCTTCAGCCTGTCTCTTTCCCATTCCTTCAATATTGCCTGAGCTGTTAATGTGCACATGGCACGGTTGTAAACACTGTGCTAAAAACAGAACCTGCCCTAAAGAACTTCCCAGTCTAGGAGGAGGGGAAAAGGTGGAATGAAGACACGTTGAGGGAGAAAGGGATGCCACTTTAAAACAGGGAGCTGTCTGGTCATCCTGGGGAATCAGAAAAGGCATTGCGGGAGAGGTTTTCAAATTGGACCATTTAAGTGGGAGATCACGGCTGATTCTTTTTTCAAAGGGAGTCCAAGCTATGTGACATTCTCTGCCCCAGAGAAAAACCGTAAGGCAGCACGTCGCAGAAATCCCATCCAGGACTCTGGAACTCACCGCTTTAGATAATAAAGAACATAGGTCTTGTGGGGATCAGATGCCCCACTGGTTTCCTAGAAGTTGGACTGAGAAACCTGGAAAGTGAGGCTCCAAGGCCCAAAGTGATCATTTGTGAGGAAGCAGAAAGCGCTCTCTCCATCTCCTGGGTCACTTAATGGGCTGGATGCACAGATGTGTCTTAGCCAGGGTTTTGTTGATCTCAGAAGCATTGAAGATTGGCCCCCACTGAGGGTAGGCAGCCAGAAGAGTGGGAGCTCTCTCAGCTCATTTAATAATCTTCACAGCAAAAATCCATTACTCATCCTCTCAAAGAGTATTTCCTGTGCATTCTGTGCCAGGCACGAGGCTGCTGAGGTGAGCCCCCAGCTGATGTATTCCACAGAAGTTGTCCAGGACCTGGTGAATGGGTCAGCAGGGGTGTGGGAACAGTGTGGGGCTGACCCTCGTCTCAGCCCCGCTGGCTTCCAGCAGCAGGTCCCACCTGGCCAGCACGGACTACTGTAGGCACTTGGGAAGTGCTCTAGCACATTCTCATTCCATCTGCACCGGGCCCGTTAAAGATGGCCGCCGTCTGCCTGGTTTTGTAGGTGAGCATACTGGGCTCAGAGGATTAAGTCACAGGGCCCAGGTATCACAGTCAGTAACGGGGAGAAGAAACGCTTCGCTCTAAGATGGGTTGGCCCAGTGGGCATCTTCCCCCAGAGTTGGTGTGTCCCAGGCCCTTTGCTCCATCAGTCCAGCTGCAGGCGCTTAGAGAGGCAGCGTCCCCACAGAGCAGGGCTCCAGCTGTTACCACTGCAGACATTGGAGGTTGTCTCACCAGCGGAGGAAGTGAGCTGAATGTGTCGTTTCCCCTTGCTGACCGAGGAGGGAAATTAGTCAGGCCCCCGACAGCCTTCTCCCGCGTCCCCCACGCACCCAGAGATCACGAAATCATCTTCCAAAGAGTGTCCGGTGCCCGTGGGAGGCATCCTGGTCGTGTTAGGGCTGTTACTCTTCCTCTTGGCTTTTTTAGTGCAGCAGCCAGGGGCCTAGCCCTCCCTCCAGACGCCCTCGAAACCAAAGTGCCTGCTACTTTCTCCTCAGCCCTGTGGAGGCAAACAGGCTGCAATGCTAAGCCCCGTTTCCTGCTTCCTCTTGTGGCTCCATAGCACAGAAATGTCTCTGACCCCCCCCCCCCACCCCCTCCACCTTGTGAAGGATCTCTTCTCAGGGAAAGAATAAGGACATTTTTCCACATGGATGAGTTTGTTATGTGTGTTTATTACATTGCGATTGAGCTGAAAGATTTTAGAACGTTGTCTAAATGAAGGCAGCTGCTGTACTCTGAGTTTAGGCAAAAGTCACCAAAGAGCAGGGAGAAATCTCTCTCAAAGGTACCATTTTCAGAAGTTTCCGACTGGCAAGGCACTCTAGGAGTACAGGATCTTTAGCTCATCATCTGACAGTATTTACTGAGCACCTACTATATGCCACGCCTTGGGGAGGGAAGATGAAAAAGACAGGGCCCCTTTCCTCATGGAGCAAACCAAAATTGTATCCGGCCTCAAACTGTGATGTAATTATGGCAATGATCTGTGTCCCAAGGAGCCCACACTGCTCCTGCACCCGGGTAAACTGGCTTCACTGGGTCTTTGCCTGTGCTTCTTAACGTCTCCGCTCTAGGAACACCATGGCCTTGAAGAATGGCACTTCCCAGGGGCGTCTGGGTGGCTCAGTCAGTTAAGCCTCCAACTTCGGCTCAGATCACCACCTCATGGTTTGTGAGTTTAAGCCCCACATTGGGCTCTGTACTGACAGCTCAGAGCCTGGAGCCTGCTTTGGATTCTGTGACTCCCTTTCTCGCTGCGCCTTCTCTGTTCATGCTCTGTCTCTCAAAAAATAAATTAATGTTAGGGGCGCCTGGGTGGCTTAGTCGGTTGGGCGTCCGACTTTCGCTTAGGTCATGATCTCGTGGTTCGAGGGTTCAAGCCCCGCGTCGGGCTCTGTGCTGACCGCTCAGAGCCTGGAGCCTATTTCAGGTTCTGTGTCTCCCTCTCTTTCTGACCCTCCCCTGCTCATGCCTTCTCTCGCTCTCTCCTAGAAATAAGTAAAAAACATTTTTTAAAAAATTAATTAATTAATGTTAAAAAATGTAAAAATTTTAAAAAGAATGGGACTTCCCGGCATGAGTAGTGCATTAAAATCACCTGTGGAGCTTAGGGATTCCTGAGATTCTCCTGCTTCCAGAGATTTTGATTTAGGAGGTCAGTAGTAAACTTCAGGCGAGCATAATCTGAAAACCTTCCCCTGATGATTTGAATGTGTTTGGAAGCCATCACTAGAGTGAGCTTCCTCCTGGTCGCTGGCCCAGCCCTCTTGAACACGAGAGAAGTAAGAATAGAAGTGAGAGAAGTAAGAGTGTCTTATGAGACAGAAGAGGCTTTCGTTGGACACTTTGACCTTTGTGTGAGTTGAGAAGGCAAAGCAGAGCAGAAACTGACCAGCGTTCAGAAGAAATTGTATTCAGCCTAGGGCTCCATAAACGGCACAGTAAAAATGAAAAGTAAAGATGGTGGTAAAAATCAGCCTTTGTTCAGCCTTTGTTCTTCTGGAGAGCTGGACACCACCGGGGCCATTTCACTGTTTACAGCTGCTTAGAATATATGCATCTTTCTTCCTACGCATTAAGCAGAATTTATATTACTCAGAACAAAATGAAACCAACAAAAGCTGGTTCTTCTTTTCCAGGGAGAAGGAATCCCTTCCCTTCTAAACATCTCCTATTTTCAAAGTGAAACAAGGTTTCGTTCACTTCACTCTCTCTCCTTCCTCTCCCTCCCTACCAGTGCAGGGTTTCACTGGAATTGGCCTTAGTATTTTGGGAGCAAAGGCCAGCAAACTTCAGATATGAACAGTTAGGATTTATGCCAACTCCAATTAGCCCACGAGTGTGCTCCCTGCCCAGCCACCTGCTTCCTCCAGAAAGCTGGCCCGATGTCTGAAGAATTTAGCCATTAGCCATGAGGGGTGGGTAGTTCTGCCACAAAACAACCTAATTAAATAGAATCTGACCCAAAGAGTAATGCCATTTTGAGGCATTATTTTGTCTGGTTAAATTCTGAATCCATTTACTCCAGCCATAAATCTAAACCACAAAATAGCCTGAGGGCTTTGTTACAGTGCAGATTCCTAGACTTTAGCGTCTGTTTTCTGATTTGGAGAGGACCACACAGCTGCGTGGCCAGAAAAGGCAACCCAGGCAATTCTGATGTAGGTGCTAGGTGGACCAGACCTTGGGAGACACAGCATGAAACTGTCAGGAGTAAGTGAGCTGGTGTGACTTTTGATGTGTCATGTAGGAAGAAAATGAACCTCGAACAGACTGCCTTCCTTCTAGTGAAAAAAAAGCCACCCTTAAACGTTTTTTCTTTTCCTCCTCTTAGTTAAGACTTGACCCTATTTCACAATTCCAGAGAGAACATTCAAAAATGTATTCAACGTACACATTTTATTCTTTCTGTTCCCTTGAACACTTCTTCAGATTAAAACGCACCAGCACAGGTTTTCTGGACCTCAGTGGAGCTTATCTCAAAACCATTCTGTGTTCCTCTCATTGTAGGAGCAAACCCGGATGTTGGAGATGGGGATTACTGGCCCAGAAGGCCATGTGCTGAGCAGACCAGAGGAGGTGAGTTACGGGGCGGCGGGGGGCAGGGAACGGAAGAGGGGCAGGTTCTCTGCTTACCAGCATCTTCTGGGACACACCTATTACTGCAGTCAGTCCCCAGCAGCCCGGCTTATGGCCACTGCTCATTTGACACTTGGAGGGTTTGTGTTGAGCCTGCCTTTCCTAGGCACGTGCGCACACGGTATATGAGCAGGGATCCCTGAAAGGTGAGGACCTCTGTGAGTACCAGGTAGCGATCCTGGAACCTTTCATCCAGACACCGCTTCTGACTGACCCATCTCGGGGCTCTGAGAAAAAGAATGTAAGAGAAATGTTTACTTCTGACCCCTAATCTCTCTAAAGGTAACACAGGTTGGAGCGTACTCCGCAGGTACTCAGTTGGAGAGGTAAATCCCTAAATCCTTCCTTAGTCGATGTGAATCTTAAAGACATCTCCACTGACCCTCTCAGTCCATGTTCTCTTCTGAGTCCTGCAAAATGGAATATTAGCCATATGGAGAGCAGGTGGAGGAGGCGTCTCATAGACGTACGTCTGTTGCTTTGTGTGATGGGTCCAGGTATGGGAGTTTCCCATGTGTAAGATGAATGATGAATTGTGACTACTTAGTGACTGCTTAGCCCCTGACGAGTGAATAACACGTAACGAGTGGCTGATTGCATGTGTTGGGGATGTCGGCAACTTCAGCTGCTGACATAGGCCACAGAGCGGGGACTTGGCTGCCCGCACGGCTGACAGCATATTGGCTTTGGGGAGGCCAGCCCTGGGTTGGCACTGGGGCGGTGTGTTCAGGGCCCTCTGTGTGCATGCCAGGGCCCGGCTCCTGCTCTGTCATCCCCAGCCCCACACTCTACAGAAGTGAGAGTGTGAGAAGGAGGCAGAGCCAGACATAAGTGTATCCCTGTTGCCCATCTCTTTTAGAGGCTTTGTAACATGCAGATGTAACACACATACAGAAAAGTGCCCCAATCATAAAAATGCAAGGGATTTTCACAAGCCAAATACTACATTTGTGTAACTGACATCCACTTGGAGAAGCAGAGCTCTTTCAGCGCCCTAGAAACTCCTTTGTGTGTGATGATATCATTTCCCAGTTGAAATAATTTATAAGTATTCCATAATATGTATTACGGCTCCTTTCTGTGGAACGTTAGCTTACACCTGGAGCTGTGCCTAATTAATTGCCTCAGTTGTCCTTGCCGCTGTCCTGGGCGGTTGGTAGTGTTGCTGCTAGAAGAAGCTGCAGCTCAGAGAGGGTAAGCCACGGGCCCTTCCCATGTGAAGGACTGGAAAGCTGTCTACATGCTGTGAGTAGGGCCAGGGTGATCAGCACTGTTTGTGAAACTTTTCCTAAATGCTGGTCACTGTAGAGATTTGCTGGCAACAATTGATTCCTGTAGCAGCAGCCAGGGGATTTCTGAGCCTTGTCTATTTTTGTTCCTTGGTTTGTTTTTCCAGCCCCCCCTCCTCCCGCACCCCACCCCACTGCCCCTGTTCCCGTCTCCTTTTTAGTAAAAAGCCTCTCGGCTGCAGAGCTGGACAGTCCTGGAAATCCTTTTGGGTGAAGCTGGAGGGTGATGTAACCTTCCAAAGATAGTCATGTTGTCAAGGTGCTGGAAACCTGCTGGGCCGGGAGGGCACGGGATCAGAGGCGCCAGGATTGGGGAGCGGCGTGGTCGGCACAGGTGTGAGGAGGGCGGGATGGGCATGCGAGGAGCCTGCCCCTCTTCAGTGCAGAGCACGCTCAGCCGCCTTCTCCAGTGATGCTGGGCAGAGAGCTGAACCCCAGGTTTGCTCCAGAAGTCCGGCTGCTTCAGGAACATGGCCTGGAGCATTCACCTGCTGTCAGGGGCTCTGGGGTCTCATCTCCTTGGCACAAAGTGCAGCTTGGGGGCCGCCAGCGGGGCCCGCCAGGTTCTAGCATCTGTCTGCTGGGCCACACCCCCCAAGGTCAGTGGCTGGTTTGCATTATGCAAGCACTGGGCATCTGCAAGCTATTTTTGGTATTTTTAAAAGTGATGGGTTGCATGGGCTAACCAGAATGTTGTATCCATCCAAAAAGGAGCTGCTGCTGATTGAATGGGAGAATGCTAGCGCCTTTGCAGCAGGCTGAATAGGAGTGTGTTGGCCTTGTGGCAGTAACACAGGCTCTTTCTCCCCCGTCAGGGGCTGTGATCAGCAGTAAGACCAGTAGCCAGCCTGCGAGGACCAGGTGTGGGCCAGTTGCCTTAAAGGATGAACTCCTCATCCTCACAACAGCCCTATGTGCCAGGTCCTATTACTATTCCCCCTTGCTAGACTGGAAACTGAAAGTTTGAGAGGTTGTGTAACGTCCCTGAGGTCACTCAGCCTCTAACTGGCAGAACCGGAACTCAGACCCAGGCCATGTGAGAGACCCTGAGCTCTGAAGACCCTGCTTTGTTATTTTTTTTTTAATAGTTTATTTATTTTTGAGAGAGAGATAGAGACAGCATGAGCAGGGGAGGATCAGAGAGGGAGGCACAGAATCTGAAACAGACTCCAGGCTCTGAGCTAGCTGTCAGCACAGAGCCCGACGCGGGGCTCGAACCCACGAACTGTGAGATCATGACCTGAGCCGAAGTCGGATACTCAACCGACTGAGCCACCCAGGTGCCCCCCTGCTTTGTTATTAAAGTAAGGGGAAACTCATTATTTCTTACTGAATAAATTCAGCTGAGCTGGTTAGCACATTTGAACTCATAGATTCTACTTTCGGGTGGGACGGGAGAAATGGATAATAAGAGAAGCCTCTGCTGAGAAGTCTGTGAATTATTCGTGTAAGAAAGGCCTGCTGGGATTGCCATCGCTGACCACCCAGAGCCGCAGGAAAGGATTTGATGTCCAATTGCCTTTACTGGTTAATGCTGAAGTATTAGTGTGGGGATTGTGTTTTGCTGGAGAACCTGTCTGGGAAGATTGGGGAGCAAAGGCTTCCATCATATGCAGCCATTGGCATAATCACGGGAAGAGAGAGAATCATCCATGGAAAGTGAGGACGAGGCTCTGAGAAGCCAGCTGAGAAGTGGTGGATCCAAGGTTTGGATCCAAGGACTCTAACTGCAGATTCCGTAGGCTTTTAAGCACCGCGCTCGCTACCCGCTCAGTTTGTGGAGGCAGGGGAGTGGCTCCCCGGGACGCTCATGCTTCTCTCAACTCCTGGGACTTCTCTTTGCAGCTGGAAGCTGAGGCTGTGTTCCGCGCCATCACCATCGCGAGCCAAACCAACTGTCCGCTCTACGTCACCAAGGTCATGAGCAAGAGTGCGGCCGACCTCATCTCCCAAGCCAGGAAAAAAGGTGATTGGTGTTCCCAAGAGCTCAGAACCAGCTGTGTGGCTGCCCCCTCCTCCCTCCCCTCCCCCTGCTGCTCCACCCCACCCCCCAGCTGTTCTGTAGAAATGGTGCCTGTTTTGCTCACTGCCATGCTGTCTGGGAAGCCCTTCCTCCGAGTTAGCCCAGGTGATCCTTTCGGGGTCCTGTGTGGATGGCAGGACCCTGGCATTTCTCCCGCTGGTTAGAGGAGTTAACTAGGCTCAGGAAAGGTGAGCGGTTTGCCCGAGATGGAACAGCTTCATTCACTTCTTTGAGACTTGGTGCATCTTTCTTCCTCCCTTTGGTCCTTCACTGGCAGTTCATTTTATCTGAGCTTTATGTGGACATACTAGTCAAGATTATATTGGGGACAGAAGACAAAGATCCAACTCAAATGGACTTAAACAAACAAAAGTAAATTTTTGTTGGAGGTGTTTTAGGCATAGCTGGATCAAGGGGTTTAAACAGTGATGTTGGGGCTCTATCACTATTCCTCTTCTCTTGTCTCTGCTTTCTTCTCTGTCGGCTTTTTATTTCGTGTGAATAGTGACAAGCAGAACTGCTAAGAGGCACTTGATGGGGGATGCATAATGAGAAAGTAGAGTCCATCTTTTCTTGATAGCTCAAGCCAAAGTGCCTAGGAGGACTGTGATGGCCTGGGCTTGGGACATGGGCCCATCTCTGAACCAGTACCTGCTCTGGGGATGGCGTGATTGCTTGTCCAGATTGAGGAGAGAGTGCAGGGCCAGGGTCCCACCACCTGAGCCACACAGGTGAGCACAGGTCATTTTGGGAAAGGAGTTGGATGGGTCTCTAAAGCACCGCCTGCTGACTTGTGCTGTTAATTTGGGCTTCATTTGCTCATCTGGTGCTAAGCTGAAGTTTACTCTCACTTCGGAGCATCCTTTTACGCTTTTTGTTCTTGTCTTCAGTGACACACTAATGGGCTCACTTGTGAGCACAGTGTGGTTGAGAGCCTGCAGGCAAAGGGCCCTGTGTGTGATTGGGAGAGATAATTTACTAGGTCCCCGTGTATGATCGTTCCTACTGTGTGCTGGTGGCCATTCTGGTCATGGAGAGCCGGCCTGGGGGACGGTGGGGGGGGGGGTGCTCATCTCCCACCCTTTGCATGTGAGTGGCTGGTGGTGGCTAAAAATAGTCCCACTGACTCTGACGGCTGAGTGTTCAGCTGCCTGCCTCTCTGGCAAAGAGGAGACCCTTTTCTTCCGGGACGGGATTCTTCCTACTTGTCTAGACAGTCTCTGTAGCTAGCACATTCTGGGACAGCGCCTGCCTTACCCTGCTCACAGTAAGCCTGCTGTTTTTCTTTCCCTGCTTTTAAATGTCTCAACGTGACATGGTGTGGCTGCTCCAGTAGGTATGAGTCACTGGGCGAGAACCAGGAAAGCAGCCCAATCTTCCTTCCTTACCCATTCTTGGAGAAAGGCAAAAAAAAAAAAAGAAAGAAAAAAAGAAAGAAAGAGAGAGAGAGAGAGAGAGAAAGAGAGAGAGAAAGAGAAAGAGAGAAAGAGAAAGAGAGAAAGAGAGAAAGAAAAGAAAAGAAAAGAAAAAAGAAAAAAGAAAAGAAAAGAAAAAAAAAGAAAAAATGCTGCATGGGGAATCCCCTGTCCCCACCCCCCACTCCCGGCCCTCCAAGACCACCCTCCACACTCCCTCTCTGTGCCTTCCGCTCCTGGCTGCATTGTGCCTGGGAGATATTCTCAGGATTGCCCGGGGCCTGGAGGACAGGGCGGTTCAGCTACATGCTGGGTCTTATTTTAAACCCATGGAGAAAGTTCCTCACCCTTGGCCTTCTGGCTCCCGGTGGTCTCGCATGGAGAGCTCTACAGCTGTGTCTCCCGGGTGGCGGGGAGGCCTCGCTCCAGTGCTGAAACCTCGACTCCTGATGTGCAAGCCAGTAAACATCTCACGACCTGTTCTTCTCCGGGATGGAGCTGCGAGGACGAGAGTACGAGGAGGGTGTAGCGGTTCACTGTTCCCTCCTGAGCCCGAGTCCCAGTGTGTTGAGTCACCAGGTGTTGTTTTTTCTTTTTTAAGTTTATTTATTTGAGAGAGAGAGAGAGAGAGAGAGAGAGAATCCCAAGCAGCGTCCTCCCCATCATCACAGAGCCCCATGCAAGGTTCAAGCTCATGAACTGTCAGATCATGACCTGAGCTGGAATCAAGAGTCGGGTGCTTACCTGACTGAGCCCCCCGGGTGCCCCTGGTAACCCTGCATGGCTGCTCAGAATTGATATTAGGAATCCACAGTTTAATGAGGACCAGCCGTACGCCCTGCCCTGACACAAAAGCTTCAAATTTAGCATTCTGTAGAATTGTCACAGAACCCTGAGAAATTAATAGCCTTTACCATCACCATTTTTCACAATGAAAAATGATTATCCCCATTTTTTAAATTGAAGCACATTGTGTCAGGATCTCCTAGTGGGAGCGCTCATATGCAAACCCAACTATAAGTACAGTTTTTGCTTTATTCTACTTGTATATCTAAAGATAGTCCAAAAGGAAAGTTCTTCTACTTTTAAGATTGTTTTTTCTCTTAAAAGTACCTTAGGGCTTGTCTTAACTTTCATTTCTTTCTTTCTGTCTTTGTGGTCCTCTATGCTTTAGTTTGGTAAATAGTTTTAGAGAGCCCTTGAAATTCTCATTAGTCTTGTGTGGATCCTTTTTCCATTCACTCCATAGAGCAGGTCTGTCGCAGACGAATCATTATCATTGCTTCCTTCTTTTGCCCATGGCAGGCATCACAAATCAATCTTGACTCTTGTAGTGAAACCAGAAGCATATTTAGAATTCTTTGGACAAAGAATTCCAAGGAACCAAAACCAATAGATTGGAGTTGAAGGATGGTAAGACCGATTTATAATTTTGGCCATAAAACCTTCCTGAACTTTGACATTGTGAGGAACTTGAATGTGGAAGATGGAGGACTGAAGTTGGACAAGTCCAGGGCTTCATGGACCATCTTTTCTCCAAAATTCTAATGTAGAGAAACTTGGTACCAACCAACGTTCTATGAGACAGCATTTGCCTTCTGTTTCTCTCTCCCTTCCTTAAGAAGCTAGCTTAGATCAGTTTATTTCCCAGTATCCCTTCTCCCCTCTGCTTGTTTTGGGCGTATAAGCCCCCAGTTCCAGACACAGGGTCTAAGGAACGAGCGTCATCTTTGATGTGTCCCAGGTTATAGGGTGTCCTTGAGCAGATCACTCCTTGCATTAGGTTATGGAGTAATAGGCTTGATGGAAAGATCATGAGAGCCTCTTATCCAATGGAGTGGACTTGACTTTGTGGAACCAAAGCATTTCCTTGCAACAAGCATGATCTAGCAGTTCCCAGTGATGCAGGCACATTGGGGGCTTTGGGCCCCTACCATGGGAAGGAATAGCAGTAGTATAAGGAAGTCACTTTCACTAAGCATTTCCTGTGCACCAGACACTTCGTACGTGTCAGATCCTTTCATTTTCAGAAACCTGAGAAATAGACATAGTCTGATGCCTCAATTCCAAGACAGATCTAGTCCACATTTTAATATTTCTGAAATGTCGATGAATCTTGTAATCAGTATACATTTTTTGTTTTGCCTCCGGATTTGGGAATTAAAGCTGCATCTTAAAACCAATGGCTTCTTGTGAACTAGGGAATACAAAATTGTTCATGTTTAGTGGATAGGAAAGGAGAGGCTTAGAAAAGGTGGGCGCACGGACTTGAACTCAGGCCTGCCTGTTTTCAGAGCCACAGCTGAGAGTAGGGCTAGGGGCTCCGATGACCTGACCCAGGCCCAGCGCAGCACATATGTTATGCAGACCCATCGCCTATTTGCTACCCCCGCAGGGAACGTGGTCTTTGGCGAGCCCATCACTGCCAGCCTTGGCACCGATGGAACTCACTACTGGAGCAAGAACTGGGCGAAGGCGGCTGCCTTTGTGACCTCCCCGCCTCTGAGCCCTGACCCAACCACTCCTGACTACATCAACTCCTTGCTGGCCAGGTTGGTGCGGAATTGGCAAGCAGCATGCAGCATGTGGAAACATCATGGGGCTGGGGGGCAGGGGGGTGGGGTGGGGGTGGAGTGAGGAGGACTGGAACAGCCTGTCCATGAGCTCGACTGGAGTCTACAGTGAGGAAAACACATGGGGAATTCCCCTGCAGCCCTGAGCACAGACGGCAGGCTCTTCCCCATCGTGTTTTACAAATTACTAACTGTAATCATATTCATAACGGGAAGAGCAGTTTACACATATCATATACAATGAGACTACACACGTGATCTCATGATTCCTTGTGACAACTGTATGAGCCAGGGGCTATCGTCTCCACTTTGCGGATTAAACAACTGAGGGTCAGGCCATTTGCCTAATTGTGAACAGCATCTGACTGAAATGACAGGGAGACTCGTTTGCTGCTGCCCATTACCCGCTGCCCCGCCAGAGGACATAGAGGACCAGACGCATCGTTCACTTGGGTCCCTTTTATTCTGTTACACAGAAATGATCTAACCCTGCCCCCTCGTTTTCCAGATGGGCTGTCTGAGCCCCAGGGAGGGAAAGAACTCACACTCACACAGCTGGTAAGAAGTACAGAAAGGGTTCTAAACTCAAGTCTCGGCTTCCAAACACGGGCACTGGACACTCAATTCCCGTCCCCCGTGGTGCCTGTAGCCACTTTTCTGGTTTACATGGGGCTCTTTTCCTTTGCTAGTGGAGATCTGCAGCTCTCTGGGAGCGCCCATTGCACCTTCAGCACTGCCCAGAAAGCCATTGGGAAGGACAACTTCACAGCCATCCCTGAGGGCACCAATGGTGTGGAAGAGCGGATGTCTGTCATCTGGGACAAGGCTGTGGTAAGGATCAAGGTCACGGGCCGGGGGCCAGGGCCAGATCAGTGCCTCCTGCTGCTGCTGCTTTGTAGGTGAGCCCTCACACCTGCTGAGATGTTTCTGGAACCAGGTGTCTTAGGTGGTTTCGGAATGTTCCTTCTAGAGTGATGAATCTTGAGATTCTGAGGAGACCTCCTTATCTAGACTATTAAGAACTAAGAAGTAGACATAGACATACAGATCCTTCATCTGTGGCATGAATGATCTATACTTAACAGTGCCTTAAATATGCACTAGAACAAGGGAGTGTTCTCCCTCCTTTGGAGAGGTCTGAATAGAACCCCTTGAAATGGTAACCAAAGGGTCTGTGCCCAAGAGATGGAAGTCAACTTGCTAATCAAGGATACTCTTGACTGAGTGTGTGGTCATCCAGGCTGTACACGTGACTGCCTACCAGTGTCTTCTGACATTGGCCTGGTTTTATTTTCCTTAATAACACAACAAAGGCTGAAAACAACATTGCAAATGAAGACTGACCCGAAGGTTTTAGTAAAATTAATAATTAACTCATTATTAAGTTGATCACTTCCCTTTATTTTATTATATTATTTTAAAGATTTTGTTTTTAGGTAATCTCTGTATTCATTGTGAGGCTCGAACTCACAACCCCAACATCAAGAGTCACATACTCTACCAACTGAGCCATCTAGGCACCCCTGCTTCTCTTTTATTTTAAAATCTCTACAGATACTAATTTCTGAGCTACTTACATCGCATATAAACAAATGCCTCATTCATCTACACAGTGTGAGCCACCAAGTTTCCCTTCTTATCTTTGCTCCTCGGAAGCTCAAAGCGAGATTTGAAACTAAATTCTTTTTTCCTTACCCAGAAATTTTTTGTCTTATGAGGAGGAAAAGCATAAACATTTTTGTCTCTTCTCTCACATAGATTTTGTTTTTTTAAAACGTTGTTGTGTATTTATGAATATATATATATTTCTCTTGGCACTATGTGGAATTATTAAAAATAATATATATATTTTTAATTACCCACATGATACACTGTCATTATAGAGCACTTGGAAAGCACAGAGAAGCACACACACGAAAGAAAACAAAACTCACTCAATAATTCCACAATCCAGTGTTAACCATGATTATCATTTGGGTGATACTCTTCTGTATTTATCCTATGACCACGCAAATTCAAACACTTATCTAAAAAAAAGGGCTCATAACCACATTAGTTTTTACCGGGAACTTTATAATTCTTTTTTTTTTTTTTTTAAGTGCAGTTATGTTGTCTTTTATAATGTTTATTTATTTTTGAGGGAGAGAGACAGAATGTGAGCGGGGGAGGGGCAGAGAGAAGGGGAGACAGAATCCAAAGCAGGTTCTAGGATCTGAACTGTCAGCACAGAGCCCGACGCGGGGCTCAAACCCATGGACCGCAAAATTATGACCTGAAGTCAGATGCTTAACCAACTGAACCCCCTAGGCGCCCCTGAAATTCTTTTTGGAATGAGAAGGCAGAGAAGTAACTGTATGCACATATCTGGGAAGAAACCACACCTCGGGAGCAGTTAGCGACCTCCTCCTGAAGCCACATGTTAACCCTTTTGCCTGGCAGCCAGGACGGCACAGCCAGCCGTGCAGCTTGTGGGTCGGGTTCTGTGCTCATCTTCTTAAGGGCCCTTCTTAGGTCTCCCTGCTCTGAGCTCAGAAGCCATGCACTGACTTCTCTTTTTCTGGTATTCCAACAGGCCACAGGCAAAATGGACGAAAACCAGTTTGTGGCTGTGACAAGCACAAATGCCGCCAAGATCTTCAACCTGTATCCCCGCAAGGGAAGAATATCTGTGGGTTCCGACAGCGACCTGGTGATCTGGGATCCAGATGCGGTGAAGATTGTCTCTGCCAAGAACCACCAGTCGGTAAGGCTCGTGCGGGCTGGAGAGGAGCAGCGCAGAGAAAGTGTGCGCGGACCTCTGTCGGGAGAGGTGTGCAGATGTGGAGTCCCCGGGCCAGCTGGGCCAGGATGGGCCATGGTGACAAACCCCCCCAAATTCTCAGGGATGGAACACCTGAGCAGGTTATTTCTCCTGGCTGGGTCAGCAGAGGGCTGTTCCCAGCACGGACACTCAGACACGGGGCGCCCTCTCTACACGTGCCTCTGATGGCAGAGGCCAGGGATCTGGTCCTGGTCCCTGGAGAACTGGTTCTGGAAGCTTTCCTTAGAGAAGGGGTGCATATCACCCTCTCACAGGGTACTGGCCACAGCCGGTCCTGGGCTTTCCCTTGCCCCAGGAGGGCAGGGCCTGCAGCGGTCCCCTGTACCCAGAAGGACAAAGAACAGGGAAAAAAAGTGGTGAACAGCACTGACACCTTCTTTATGAGGACTTTCATGTGGAGGATAATAATGAAAGCCTGGTACTTAAAGGGCTTAATCCTTGTTAGTAAAGAGTTAATATTTTTAGAGCATTTACATTTCAGGCAGTGGAGCCTGTTGTTTTAATTTCTGAGTTTCCGTAATAGACTCTGCCAGGTAGGCACTGTTACCGCCCCCATTTTACAGATAAGGACATGGAGGTGCAGGGAAATTAAATAATTTATGCAGCAGGTAAATGGTGAAGTTAGAGTGCAGATCCCACAACTGCAAGCTGCCGTCTTTAACCCTTTGCGGTCAGACCTTGCGCTTTTTGAATCAATGAAGGTAGTAGAACGAAATCCCATTTTGGGAGGGGATGGCGTGTGTTTAGACATTGTGTCACATCACATTATTTAATTTTGGGCTAGCGGAGACCTAAGGGTTATCCAACCCATCTCTTCACCCACCCCGTACAAGAGTGCCAAACGCAGCATCCCCGAGAGTTCCCGAGCTGCTCTTTGAGCACTGCCAGTGACAAAATGTACTTCCACACGAGGGCCTTACCGAAGACTGATGCTTCTCTGTGCTGGCCAGTCCAGTCTCCACTACCTTGCCCCCGGGGCTTCTGCCCATCGAGAGCATACAGGTGGCGATGTAGGCTTGCCCTGGCTGGCCTGGTGCTTTGGCCTCAGTGATGCGGAAGGCAGGGCCCAAGTACAGGAACTGCCTTCCTCGCCTGCCTGTCCTGTGCCCACACCCGTGGCTCTGCCCCTCACCCTCGTCTCTAGGCTGCAGAGTACAACATCTTTGAAGGGCTGGAGCTGCGTGGGGCTCCGCTGGTGGTCATCTGCCAGGGCAAGATCATGCTGGAAGACGGCAACCTGCACGTGACCCAGGGGGCCGGCCGCTTCATCCCCTGCAGCCCGTTCTCGGACTATGTCTACAAGCGCATTAAAGCCCGGAGGAAGGTGAGGAAAGCCGGTGGAGCCTGGAGGTGTGGGAAGGGGTTTGTGTCCCCTCAGGCACAGGGACAGTACCCCTGAGGGCAGGGAGGCTCTGTGTGCCGTAGTCCCTCCCAAGGAAGTTCACAGCAGTGGTCTCTTCCCAAAGGACAATCGCACACATTTAAGGTACTATCAAGGGGGTTTCCAAAGGTTTTTTGGCCCAAGAAACCTTTTTTTCAAATGACTTTCCTCCATTTTTATAGCACTTTTAATTAAAATAATTTAAAATTTTAATAATTCAAAATAACACACACATATATGTGTATATATATTTTTAAGGGTTTTTTAAAGTTTATTTTGCAGGGGCATGGGGTGGGGGAGGAGAACAGAGACCAGAGAGAGAGAGAATCCCAAGCAGATTCTGCACTGTCAGCACAGAACCTGGTTTGGAGCTTGATCCCACAAACTATGAGATCATGACCTGAGCCAAAAACAAGAGCCAGACATTAAACCGACTGAACCCCAATGTTAAATATTTTAAAAAATAACTAAGGCTCACAGTGGGAATTAGCAGCCCACACCCAGCCCTCCAGGTCCTATCTCTTCCAGTGTTGCTCTAGAAGGCAGATGATTGTAACTCCTTTAGCTAGGTGTCCGGTTCACATAAAACCTTGTGTATGTCTCTGGTTTCATAGACAGACAGGTAGCAAAATAGATACACAGACACCTGTTTCTTGTGTGTGTTATGTATCTACCTACCTACCTACCTACCACCTACTTAACTAAGCAGCTTCTGTTGATTTAGGGGTGAGGCCCAGAACTCTGTTTTTTGCAGCCTCCGCTACCCCCACACCAGTCACAAGATCATCTTCCAGTAAGGCTGGGGCTCCACAGAGCAGGGTTAGATTGGCCCTGGGATGGGGTGGAATTTGAGCCCTGGTCCCAGCCTTGTCTGTTAGAACACACATGGTCATGCGTGCACATGGGATGGGCCAGCACCCCCAGCAGCCGGGAGAAGGAGTCATGGTGATGGCAAGGTTGGGGGCTGGGGACGGGGTCTGGGCACGTGCCACAGTGGCCAATAGAGAGAGGCTCACAGAAAGTCCACACACAAGCACCCCATCCCCGTCCCAGGCCCCCCTGTGATCTTGCCAACTGGTCATCTAGCCTCTGTGTGGGCAGAGGCTTCCAGCCTCCCCATCTGAGGCAGCTGCTAGCCCTGCCTGTGGCGACCCGCTTCCTCCTGCTGGCCTGAAGCCCCCTCCCCAAGTTCGACCAACTCGTTCCATCCATTCCCCTCCGGGCATCTGCACGGAACGAGGTGCACATCTCTTAGCGCGTGTGCGTTTCTGGACTCCTCTGTCGTTTAGTCTCAATATCCCTGTAGCCTCCACTATTTACTTCCCGACAATGTCTTAAATCCCTCCACCGTTCTTCTCTCTTTATTAGCGATCATTTAAAGTTACATGGAATGGAGTAAAATTCTGCACTCCAGGTTTGGCCGGATAGAGAAGAGAATGAAACCCAGCCTCCCATGTACATCATCTCTTGATTTCCATTAATGTGACTTAGATTCTGCACCCAAAGAAATGTTGATGGTCTGGAGGCTTTTCGGGTAATATGGAAATAGACATGGTCCCACCCAGGTCGTTGGCAGCTGTAAGTCTGAAGAGCTTTGCCTCTGTGCCTGCACCCGGGTTGTGAACACAGGGCAGGGAAGGCTCTGCAGCAGAGCCCACCCCGCACTGGCGGGCTCCCCAGGCAGCCGCTGAGAGGACGTGGGCGGAGGCGGTGTGCGTCCCATAGACCGTGAGCCGCGCTGGGGGAGGCCTAGGTTTCGTGTGACCCTGTCCCCCAACTCCTGGCACCGGGCCTACCACAGCGCATGCCCATGGCTGGTGTTGCTGGCTGGCCGCACAGTTCCAGGTCGGGTTCACGGCCACAGCCAGAGGCTCGCGGGTCAAACTGTAGGACGCTCCCTTTGAGGTTTGCCACCTCTGCTCTGTGCTAAGGAGCGTGTGGGGGGAGCTCCCACCGGATCTCACACCTACCGGCACGGACCACCTTGTCCCAAACTGCTGCCCTCCCTGCTCCTGTGCTCCGGTGTGCAGATGGTCCTTCCATCCATAACGTCCCCCTCCCCCCACTCCCCCTGTCCCCTCTGCTCCGATGTGCAGGTGATCCTTCAATCCCTAACGTTCCCACCCCCACGCCCCGCCCCTTCCTCTGTTGGGAATTCTGCCTTCCGCACTGGTCTTCTGCACTTCACAGCCTCCTCCTTCCCTCAACCCCTCCTTCCCTCAACCCTAGCCCCACGACATAGGACACGCTCCTTTGTTCCTTTAGAATGAAGCTCACCGGAGGCACCTGGGTGGCTCAGTTGGTTAAGCCTCTGACTTCTGCTCGGGTCGTGATCTCATGGTTCCCAGGTTCAAGGGCCACGTTGGGCTCTGTGCTGCCAGCTCAGAGCCTGGAGCCTGCTTTGGAGTCTGTGTCTCCCCCTCTCTGTGCCCCTCCCCTGCTGATGCTCTGTCTCTCAAATATAAACAAACATTAAAAATGTTTTTAAAATAGTGAAGCTCACTTATTTAGAGAGGTCTTCACTGACCCATTGCACCGTCACTCTGTTTTCACACCCCCGTATCTTATATGGCTTCTCCTTTTCTTCAAGTAGCCCTCTGATTTTTATTATTTTCTGGCTCCCACGACGCCGTTAATCACTCCTTTATCTCTGCCACCTGGCACAGACCTTAGCTGTTGACAGAATAAAGGGTGACGCACTTTCTCTGCTGCAGATGGCAGACCTGCATGCGGTCCCCAGGGGCATGTACGACGGGCCAGTGTTTGACCTGACCACCACCCCCAAAGGGGGCACCCCTGCGGGCTCCACCCGGGGCTCTCCCACGCGGCCCAACCCGCCCGTGAGGAACCTCCACCAGTCGGGATTTAGCCTGTCGGGTGAGTGGATGGTGCCGGAAGGTGAGAAGGGAGGAAGGAAGGGGACAAGGGAGGGACGGTGAGGGAGCAGTGCTGCAAGCTGGCAGGACACCTATAGGGAGATGGTGCCTGGGGCAGGCAGGAAGCTTTGCCGAATCAGAAGGGAGTCCTGCTGAGAAGGCGATGTAAGGCTCGCTGAGGTCCAAGGTCAGGTTAAATGATGACCAGGTCTGCTTAGAGATCATCCCTGATGGGGTGGGGGCAAGATGCTTTCCATTATGAACTGATATGGAGGTGCTCTGTCTGTCTCTAAAAGATAGCTTAGATTGCAGTAGTGTCTTCTGGTGTTTTGTTAAAGTATTTTAAAAAAAATACTCATTTATTTTTGGGAGAGTCTAAGTGGGAAAGGGGCAGAGATGGGGACAGAGGATCTGGAGCAGGCTCTGCGCTGACCACAGCAAGCCCGACGTGGGGCTTGAACTTAAGAACCGTGAGATCATGGCCCGAGTCAAAGTCAGATCTCAACCAGCTGAGCCACTCGGGTGCCTCTAACCTGGCATTTTTACCCTTCTCTCCCCTTTCTCGTAGTAACGGTAGTGCTAGCAGTAGATGCGGTTGATTAAACACTTGGCCTGGGGTCAAAGACTTCACCTTGTCTAGTCTTTACGAACCGGTGTTAGCAGAAAACTATTCTACTTGCTCCATAACCAGAAGTCTAAAAATGAGGAAATAAACGGAGATTTGCACGTCTGTGATGAACAATCGAAGTATGAGGGAAACGAGACCACTAGAAGGGACAGGGAGAGGTAAAGGGAAACGTATCGGGAAGGAGTAAGGAATGGCAGCAGCAGGAGGAAGGCAAAAGGAAAAGCCTGCAAGTTTGGAGGTGACGCGGCCAGAAGTCACGTTATCTTTGCACAATATTTGTTGTCAGCGTGGTTGCCATTTTGAATCGCTCCCTGCCTGACGTAATCCCTAAAGTTCCGACAGCTCCTCTGTGAATGGACGTTAAGCGCGTGCACTTCAGGGTTTCCTTTTGTGTCGAGGCTGCAGGGGCCCCACCATCACCAGGCCGAGTTGTGAGACCTTGGGCGACTTGCCTGACTTCTCACAGCTCAGTCACTGCCTCTGTGAAATGGGGACACTAACAGTAGCCTCCCCAAAGGATAGTGAGGACTGAGTCAGGTATCTGAGGAGCAGCTGACACATTGCTTGTCGCAGTGGATGTAAGCTTTGATTTCTCGTGTCATAAGTAATGCTTTCCTTAAGTATCATTTTTATGATGCTGGACAGTATCATGATAAGGACCTTGCTTTTCCTGGTGGAGAAGGGAGTCCAGGGCACGGTGGATACGAAACCCCTAGAATACTCGACAGACTGGAATGGAAGTTTCTTGGGAGATGAGGCGAGGAAGGCACTTGCCATCTGACACTCTGAAAATTAATCCAGTTTCTCTCTTGTCCACACCCCCCTCTCTCTCCCTTGTCTCTCCCTGGGGATGTATTGCCCACCGCAGGCACCCAAGTGGATGAGGGGGTCCGCTCGGCCAGCAAGCGCATCGTGGCGCCCCCCGGAGGCCGTTCTAACATCACGTCCCTGAGTTAAGCGACCCCTCCCCCAGAGAGAGGGGCAGAAGCAAGAAGAGATTTTCTTGAAGCCAAAATGGTACACCGATATTTAAGAAGGAAAGCGAATCCAAACAGTTGTGATCTAAAGAATCAATAAGCCTCAAGCCTTATGTTTCTCCAATGCTACACTCGCTTGCCTAGCTTTACGAATATTGCTTTTGTTTTCTGTTTATGCATAGCCTTGATTTGTTGGGCCCTGCCTCCCCCATTTACATGCATGCAATCAGACAGGCTACTAAGGTAAAAGAGTCTGCTATATAGTGTTGAGAGCGTGTGTAGTGCTGCATCTTATGACAAGGGGACAGACAAAGCTGGGATGTCAGGAAAATCAACAAAAGGGACATGGTTACTCGGGGTGAGGGGGTGGTGGGAGCCCAGAGCAAGGCGGAAGGCTCAGCGGGGCTGGGGGAGGGTGTGTCAGGGGAGGTGGGGGGGTGGGGGGTGAGCATACAGGGGCTTGTGTGTTGTGTCGATGAAGCACGTTTATTTCAATGGCAGGTGGCCATCCTGGGGCAGTCGTCCCTTCATCACGGTCCCCCAGGGTCTGTGGAGAAGGTGAACAGTCTTCAGGTGCCAGACTTTGTCACATCCCCTCCTAGATTTTATTCCTTTGAACCTTTTATTAAAACACCAAAACCCAACCATTACGTTCACCTGCTCGATCGCGCCAGTGTTTGGTGGGGCCGCTCTCCCAGCGTTGCTTTCCAATTCTCTTTCCTGGGCTGGGAAGGAAGAGAGGGGACAGGAGGCCACCCTTCTCCTCCTCTGTCCTGCCTGCCTCTTTGGTGCTCTTAAAAGGCAACAGCTGGGAGCGCACACAGGCCCTCGGGCGGGTGGGGGCAGCCATGCTCACACACCTCCCTCTAAACGTCTGTTGGAGATCGTCTCTCCCCTTGGCTTTGTGAAAACCCGAAGGGGTGGTGTGCATCCGGTATCCCAAGTTAGGATGCGCCCAGGCGGGGCCCCAGGAAGGGCTGCTCGTGCTGGCGGTGAGTGGCTGCTTCTTTCCATCTGGGACCCAGGCCCCTCCATGATTGAACAGGATTTTTCGTTTGCAAATTTAGGCACTTAGGTATCCTCCAAGTTTTGTGAGAAACAGGTGATCTCAGCTGAGATGGGAGCCACACAGGGATTTGGGAAAGCGAGTCTCTGGAGCTGGGGGGGCATGTTCAGGGCCATGGGTCTGCTTTTCAGGTCTGAACCATCTTTCCCCCCTTCCTTTAGCATATCCTCTGGGGGAGCTTTTTGTTTCCATCTGAAGTCTCCCAGGGTGAGTGGAAGTGACACATAGTCTCGTGTGATGTGGCACATTATGGACATGGAGCCCAATGTCAATTTCTCCGTCCTGCCACTTGTGAAAATTCCATTTTGGAGCAAGTTCTGTGAGCCACCTGAGTATCTGTGGACTCAAGAGGCCCGTAGGCAGAATGAGGATATCCACCATGGGATCGGACTTCTGTGCTTGGGAGATCCAGCTTGTAGAACCCTGTGTACTAGGTATTTTGAAGGAAAAGGGCAGGTGTCACACACCTGTCACGTGCTAAGGAGAAGCCACGATCTCTGACGGCAGGTTTTACTAAGCTGAAGACCAGAGAAAAGGGGACAACACAGGGCTAACAAGGAATTTGGAAATAGCCAAGGAAGAGGATCTCCCCCTAGCAAGCCAGTTATTGTTCTCATGAAAATGATCATTTCTCCTCATAATAAGGGATCTTGCTATTTTAAGGCTTTTTCAATGGTGCCTTTATTTTAAAGGAAACTTAGGGGGAGCATGCACCTCTTCATTTATAACTCAAAGACTTAAGGGCCTGTTGCAGAACTCAGAATGACGGTTTTGCAGACCCAGGGAGATTGTCAGATCTGAAACATCTGACCGCTGTTAAACCTCAGTGGCTGGGCTGGGCGGTCGGAGGTGTTGCAGTACCAGCCGCAACCGCCAGATGGAGGAAAAGACCAACTAGTGGGCCAGTCCTCTTTTGTGTACCGTCTGCTAGCGTTAACTTAGCAGTTACTGTTACTTAGCCTGTTAAGGTAGCTACCGTTAACTTAGCTTTCATGGCCAAATTGGTCATCTGCACTGCGACTGCCGAATGAAACATTCAACCAGAACTTCCTATTCCACACAAGCGTTCCGTGCTGTAGGAACAACCACCTCTGATGCCTTCATGATGGGCAGCGTGATCTGGGGAACTATCAGTAACTTCCCAAACAGAGATTCCTAATAATTTCAAGAAAACTCCCTTTAGTTCCATCCCTTGTATTTCTTGTACCTTGTCACTTTAGCTAAAATTGTATTCACCTGTGTCCTGTTCCATAAGACACATCAAAGAGCCCTTGTATACAAAGGGTTTAGGAAGAGAAGATGATGTGAGTCACATCCCTCTCAGAATTCATGCCGTCTTATCCAAGAGTGGAGGGCGTGCTGGACCCTCCCCTCCTGCCCATGCTTTCTTTTTTTCCTCTCTTCACTTGGCCTGGCCCCTCTTTAAGGATGCCCTGCCTTCCCCCCCGACCTTCTCCCCTTTTTCCTCAACCCAGATGGCCTCCACCTGGGGTGTTCTATTGGAGGGCCACCATCTTGGGTAGTTGAGAAGGTAGTTGTGGAATCATGAAATCAGCCAACCCCACAGAGGTATTTCTTCTATTTCTGTGTGTTCTAAAAATGGCAGTTTTTTGTAGTCATCGCAAAAATGGGTTTTCTTCAAAGACCAGTCACCCTTTGGCCCTTTTCTTCATGCCTACACCCAGAGAGTCATGCTTTGCTGCAAAGGCCTTCATCCTAAGCCTGGACTTCCGCTCACCCTGAGAAGCCCTTCCCAACTAGGGTGGATGAGCCCCAACTTTGGTTCTTGCCACAAGCTTCCCAGGCCTTCCTTCTCTCCCCTGGAAAATTCCAGCTTGAGTCCCAGATATACCCATGGGCTGTGCTGAGCAGCCAGCATTCATTGTAAAAGTTCCCTCCTTGGAAAATGGTGTGTGGGTGTTCAGTTCTGTGTCTGGTGAAAATGAACAGACCGTAAATCTCCCTGTGATCTGTGGTAGCTGTGAGGCAGCTCTGGGACGTGAAGAGCTGTTTGGTTTGAACCGTGAAGAAAACTGTGTTTTGAGTTTAGCTGAGATTAAAGAAAAAGTTCATCAAGTGACTGTTAATGTACACCTGGTTATTAAAATAACTATGAAATTACAGATATTGTTGTCCAGTTTTCTTCTGTATGCGACGGACCATTTCACCTGCAGTATTAAAATTGCACTGTAAAATGGAAACGGTTAATAAGGTAGGCAGATCTGATGAGAACAAGAGGTTTCCTGAGAAAATGTCAGGGGTTTCTGTCTTTTCAGTTGAATTTGCATTTTTGTTCTGGCCACAGCGTTATCGAAACTTAGGGGAGTAAAGTTTTATCTGTGGACCATCAAAGTTAGTATTAATGTGAAAGGCCTCGCCATCTGAGTCCAGTACAGATCCTGGAAGGGTTTCTTTTGTTTTTTTGTTTCGTTTTGTTTTGTTTTTTGGTCACCCCCTTAAAGAATTTCTGCTTCTCCCCCAGAAGCCTAGACTTGGAGAAAATGCAAACCAAGCATTTTCCAAAGTATATTTTTTTCCCATACTGATACCCCAGTTGTCTAAGGAGGGTTGGAAAGGATTACTTACTAAATGTAGTCCTCTGAGAGATTTAAGGTCTTGGCATCAAATTCAAGGCTGTGAGAAATCTTGTCAGTCTTTGAAAATTTGCCCAGTTCAAGGGTCTCACACTTTTTTGACTGCTGAACCCTTGTATATCCTTTTTTAATATCCCAACCAACTTCTTATGCTAAACTCTCTTGGGGAATCGTTCCTGGATCCAATTCCATATTGTATGGGATGCTTCTCATTGGAAACAGCAGACTATTGTATGCACAATTTTTTTGAAAAGGGTATTTTTAAAATACCCTTTTAAAAAAGGGTATTTTTTCACTAATTTTTTTTAATGTGATATTTATTTCTGAGAGAGAGAGAGACAGCGGGAGCAGGGGAGGGTCAGAGAGAGAGGGAGACACAGAATCCGAAACAGGCTCCAGGCTCTGAGCAGTCTGTCAGCACAGAGCCCAATGTGGGGCTCGAACCCACGAACCATGAGATCATGACCTGAGCCGAAGTTGGACATTTAACCAACTGAGCCACCCAGGCACCCCAGGTATATATTTTTTTAAGATGTTTGTTTATTTATTTATTTATTTTTAAATGTTTTATTTATTTCTAGGAGAGAGAGAGAGACAGCATGAGCAGGGGAGGGTCAGAGAGAGAGGGAGTCACAGACTGAAACAGGCACCAGGCTCTGAGCTGGCAGTCAGCACAGAGCCCGACGCGGGGCTCGAACCCACGAACCTCGAGATCATGACCTAAGCGAAAGCTGGACGCTTAACAGACTAAGCCACCCAGGCGCCCCAAGATGTTTTATTTATTTTTGAGAGAGCGTGAGCAGGGGAGGGGCAGAGAGAAAGGGGGAGACAGAGGATCTGAAGCAGGCTCCAGGCTTACAGCAATGAGCCCAATATGGGGCTGGAACTCACAAACCATGAGATATGACCTGAGCCAAAGTTAGACGCTCAACCACTGAGCCACCTTGGTGCCCTTTGAGAAGGGTATTTTCAAGTCTGGTGTAATGAAAACTCCAGGGATAGAGCTGGGTAGATCCAAGTATAGCTGCGTCTACAACATGATTTCTCTTCATCTCTTAGCCCAGCTTGCCTTCAGTAAGTGCTGCGTAGGAAAGCTTCTGCGTGTGGGAGCAGAACTGGCCATCAGCATCCTCAGGTTTTCATTTTGCCTGCCTAAGCGACTTCAGGGGAAGGAGAGAGGCTCCCTAACTAGTTCCAGCTAAAGAGACTGATAATGGCTGGCCTGGCTGGGGACACGTGTTCACCATAGCACTAGGCACCATGGCTGGGACACTGGGGCTGATGGACCCCACTGGTCATGTGTCCAGCCCCAGACCCCCTGAACCCTGTGAGCTCTGAATCACACAAAAATGTGTGATACTGGAAGAAGGAGCAAGCGCACATCTTGCTCTGGGCAAGAACAGCAGATGGCCACGGTACCCTTTTCAAGGCTGCAGGGCCTCCGTGATTTGCTCGGCAAAGTGCCTGTGTATTAGGTGGAGCATGGAGAAGGGGTAAGAGAATGATAATTTCTTATTAGTTGCTTTTATGGGTCACGAACCCCTCTTGATTCGGTAGAATGAGGCTGTCAGAGGAGCACAGAGTGACAGTACCTTTTAACACCATAGCTTAGAAAACAGAACTGAGAAAACTCTCAGAACATGATTATTTCAGTTTAAGGTTCAAGGTTTAATTAACCCCTAGTGTCAGTTTGCAGCTCACACTCAGGATTGGTGAAATGCCTCTCCTGTCATGACCAAGCAGCAGCTGAGCTCTGCTTGGGGTGGGAGTGATCTTAAAGGGCATGGTCGGTGCTTAATTAGAATGAACTCAGGTTGCAGCATTTAAAATTGATGAAGCAATTTTTTTTTTTTAAATGTTAGTGAAATAGACACCATGACTTTCACACGTCTGTGGGCTAGAACTGTTCAGGGCTGACCAGGTGCAGAATGAGAACACTGCAGAGGAATACAAAGGTCCCTCTGGTTTCAAGGAACTTCCTGGAATCCTCTCTGCTACCCTCAACGCATCACAAAAGGGACAGCAACCATGAGCAGAAAACGGGGGGCTGGGAGGGCCAGAGCAGTCTGCAGAAATGAAATCACACTCTTACGGCTGGCACTCTTCAGAATCAAGAGTTCTAGATCTTGCCCTGTGCATGGCCGCTGGGACAAAACAGGACACTTGACATGGCCTCGACAGCAGGGCACTCGGCATGCAGGACTTCAGAGCCCACTGCCCAGAGCACAAGGATTTCAGGACAAGCCCAGGGAACTCGCTGGCCTGCTGGCTGTTAAGTTTGTGTGGGCCTAGGAGGAAGTAGCTTCCGGCCGCAAGAATGCAAAGATGTCTGTGACCTCTGTGTCCCAGGTGTGGATCATCCACCTGCTGTTTCAGTGTATGGACTGGGACAGTGCGAAGATGGAAAGGGTAGTAAGGCAGAGTGCTGACAGAAAAGGTCCTTGGGCTGAGGACAAGGTCATAGTGAAGGGCAAAACCTGGAATTCTGGGCTGTGCTCCCTAAGGTGTGAATGCTCCGGGGGTCAGGTTTTTAGTTTATGTATATATGTGGATCAATTCCGCTGTGCTGCCTTCCACTGTTCTTGAACATCGCCAATACCAGCTTGTCCCTGGTAAAGGGCAGTGGGAAACAGAAGTAAGAACAGGTGACTTTGGGCCCCCACAACCCTACCTCTAGGAAAAAATAATTACGCACACAGCTGCCAGAGAAGGATCTGTGACTCACTGTCTACAGAAGAAGACATTTTAATACACAGAGGCACATTTACATTATATATACCACATTCAGCAGAAGCAGGTATTCCCACCCAAAGGCTGCTTGTTTACAACGGCACAGATAACTGGAGTTTGGATTTTGAACATCGATGGTTAACATCAGTCAGACACATGGAGCTCATAAGAAACAGCAATCACAGGCGGACGGTAGGAAACGGGATGTTGTGTGGACATAAGCACAACGAGACACGGAAACAAACACTATGTTTTACATGCCTTTTCATTCACCTGTTGAATTAAAGCCTTAGCATTATGGCATCATCAAAAGCAGCAACACTGGATCCTGCTGCCTATATTAGCATTCTTTATTTACTTGTTCATCCAATCTAGAAAAGCTATGATGATATAGAGCCTAGTTATTTCTGATTAGTACTTTCCTATCCAAACAAGCTTACCTACTAATTAACTAAATTACTGTAATCAAGTTAGCCGTGCCTGTGCTCCTTGCATGCGTCCCTGCCCTAGCAATGACCCCAGCCCAAACCAGTGCTGCTGCCTTTGAGAGGTGTTAGCCGTTAGCAGAGTATTTAATTTCCATGGAGACAGCGTTGTGGGTGGAGTTGCAGGGCTCCCTTCCCGCAGTATAATGAGAGTTCTAACCCAGAAGCTTCTGGTCTTCTGTGCCTGCTCAGTCTGACGCTCCACACAGGTAAGGGCGAAAACAGTTAGGAGAAAAAAACCAAAGGAATACCAGACAAAGGGATGTAGGAGTCGGCTTGTTTTCCAAAATTCTTAGCCCTGAGCCTTGGTTGTCACAAATCTAGATGAGACATGGGCCACCTGGTTAGGACAGTCCCTTTTGGCCCAAGTTATGGTAATCGAGCCAAAGAATCTGATACCAACAGGAAGCAATCATGGTTCAGGTCTGGGCATCCTTTTGTTTTTTGGAAAACTTTTCATCCTAACGTTTAAAATGTGTGCTGGTGGGAGGGGCTTTTTAACAGTTGTTCTGCGATGCATTTTCATTTCTAATTGGAAACACATTGCGGGTCTTGTAACCCGATTAGGACTGAAAACCCATCTTACTGCTCTGAGGCTGTGTTCTCTAGTTCATGTGTCCATGGCCCCTGCAAGCTCACAGAGGTGCTTTGGGCAGCTCACTGGAAATAAAAACTAGGGGTTCAAAGTGCAGAGGGGGGTAATAGGTTCCTAGCCTGTTATAACTTGTACAGATGAGAAGTGGCACAATTGGTTGGGTCCCTTCCCAATGGAGGGCCTCCTGATCCCAGTGCCCTGCGGTGTTTCCCGAAGTCTGTTCTGGGATGATACATACACAGACCCCAACAGGAGGCGAACCAGGTGGCTGGAGAGGTGTGTCCACAGCACATCGGGGCTTGAGTCAAAATGCATGAAAGACAGAAGCTGGTAAATAGGCAAGTGGCCCCTGATATTCCCAGAGTTACCAGCCTGGAGCAGAGCCTGGTCACCTAGTTCTTTTCATGTATAATTACAAATGGAGTCAGGGCCAGTGCGTCGTTGATGGTGCTTGCAGAAAAGCTAACCAGCGCGGACACATCATATGTGGGAAATGTAGAAAAAACAAAACAAAAAAAAAGAAACAGAACAAAAGAGCTGGTTTTAATTCTTAACAAAAATATGGTTGCTCTTAAAGTAGAGAGGCTCTTCCAGAAATTCCTGGCGCATTAGCTCAGTGAGGAGAAAACCCTGAATGCCAAATGAGAATCCAGCACTGGCTTCCTACCCGTGTTTAATTGCCTGTGTCGCTTCCCCACTTGCTGTCTTGTGTGACAGGT